GTTGTCAGAGGCTGTAAAGTTCGTATCCTGACTCTGCCTCTGGTAACTGTAATAAAAATGAGGTGAAACCAAGCATTAAAAACATCCTAGAAACAAATGGTCACCTTCCTGCAGCTTATCATCAAATTCAATGGGAACATGACTTTTCCTACGAGGCAAAATGTGAAATTGACAATAATCATAGAGCTGAAATACTCCTTTTTCACATTTGTTTCAAAGTAAATTTTCTTTTAGAAATTATTTCTTCTAAAAATATTTTTATTTTTTTACACCTATAGAGTGAGTAATATAAAGAGTAATATAAGAAAATGTTGCTTTTTCTTATTTTATTAATTGTTACAACACTTGATTAATTAATAAAAGGAAGGCACAGTTTTTACTTAGACACCTTTCACATTATTACCTCAAGTCTCTTGTTTTCTACTGATTGATTAGATATTCATGACACTATGTTTCATTCTCTCAAAATTGTTTCTTAAGCTTCAACCTCTTCTGCTTCAATCCAAATTATATTTATCATATTTACTCAGCACCAACAGTCTAATTCACAATCTAGAAAGTACATCTGTTTCTTAATCCTGACAAGGGCCATATTTTTGACTTCCTCATCAGCTTCATGAACCAAAACAAACCAATGTATACAGTTTTGCAAAAATGGGTGAGCTTTTCATGCTTATTTACCTGCTTGAAAGTCTAGGGATTTGCATTAATTACCCCCAGCTTTGATAAAACAGCCTTTTCTTGAATTTATGCATCCATAATGCTGTGCATCTCAGTGTTATGGTCTTTGAAGTTTCCATGCTTCCAAAGGCTTTCATCTGTCACAAATGGAAATGAGCTTGTACTGATAGGGCCAGGTTGCAGTGGCATGATTCCATCAGTGGAAAATTTACTCCTAGATATTCGAAATATTAGAAACAAGTATCTGTCATATAGATTTAATCACAGTGTGTTGTAATTAATAAACTACAGAAGCATGAATACCTAAAATTGACTTCAAAAGTAGAAAATCAAGGATGATCTCTATGTTCTCTTTTGTCTGGAGAACAAATATAGATATTAGTTCCAGAAAAGATGATATTTTTCTCATCAGAGCAAGCAAAGTTTTCACATGTATTTTGGGTATTGCTACAGCTTATAACAAGGTGTTTGAGGGTATCATTCATGAATGACTAGTAGATAAGAAGGTAGTTCAAACATATAATGAATCTCATGAATAATGCAAAACAGGAATGTCAGAATTTAAAAAGCCTTATGGAGCTAGGACCCTGCTGGCCGGTTCAGTCTAGTTGGTGCTCAATGAGTTCTAGAGACACTCTAAAGAAACTCAGATATGAAATCCTTGAAAATGTCATGCATCATATTCATAAAATCATCAAAGACTCTATTATGAGTCTCTGAATCTCAGATATGAATCACTGAATTGATATGAATCTCAGATAAGAATCTCCTATCTCTGAATTAGTACATTAAGCCAATACATAGCTCAAATCATTATTGAAATCAAAGAGAGGGAAGGTGACTTTTATGATATATTGTTAAGGAGAAATTTGTAGACAAGTGTCATGTCTTGGTGTAGACAGTGAAAAAAAATGGTATGTATATGAATAAACCTGGTATACCAAATTGAAAAACAAGCCATTTTTGTGAATGCCTCTAAAGAATCAATAAGATTGTGCATAAAGATCCTTCCAAAAATCTTTCAGGAAGATCTCACAGCAATTGCTCCTAAAAAAATTCTAATTAGCTGCTGTGGTTCTGCCCCTGATGGCAGATCAGCCCCATACAACCACTAGAACACTCCCCACAGTGGGTGGGGGAGAAATTAGAAGTTTACATGAAAATTCATTATATGAGATAGAGATATTTTAATGGGTAAAGGAAAAGGTGTGCATTAAAGGCAAACCAAAATGAGGAATTCTTTCATTTTTGATGGGCAGGCAGCTGTTCATCCATCTGTAGAAAAGACAGGCTCCATCACACATGTCAGTGACTTAGGACAAATCCCATAAATCTGAACACTCTTCCTCCATATTCCTTATAGCTTTTGTTGCTGAGTATGACACCCCACAAGGGTATGGGATATTTCTCTGGGCAGGGAGAGTCAGCTGTCCTGCCTCTGTTCCCTCTCAAACTCTCATGCACCCCCACCCTGCTTGCTTTCAAAAAAACGTAAGAAGAACTTGACAATCACTTCACACGAGATGCTGTATATGCACTTCTATGAAGCTCTGTCCCAGTCAAAACCAGTACAGGAACTAAGACATATGGTCCCTCTGTGCCTCAGCATCAAAAAAATAAAAAAACAAAAATAAAAATAACAGGATATTAATTTTTAGTATAGTTTTAATGCTGAAATCCTACTAGAATACCTATGGAGATTCACACTTCGTATATTCATCACAGATATTAGAAAAATAATGAATAATGAGTGATAAAATTTGTACATGACATACAATTTCATACAAATTTGTGGTCATTGGCTTAAATCTGGCTGCAGGAATGAAGGATTAACAACAGAGTAAAGGAAATTCAGTGTTGATAGATAGGGATAATATAAGGAAAAAAGATGAATGATGACATGGAACAGAGCACAGATTTAGTTTGGAATTTTTAGGAAAAAAGCCTGTTATGAAAACGTATGAAAATTCTGTGAAAAAAAAAGAGTGGAAATTGAATACCAAATTATTGTGTATCTGTTACAATTAAGACAAGAACAAAAATGGATGGCTTAAATTACCAGACAATAAATTTAGAGCAAACAAAATTGGATAACTTTTATATGATGTCTAATTACACTGTGGAACTCATGAATGCAGACAATAGAACTGTAAAGAGATTTTTGAAAGGACCAGGAAATTTAGAGAAAAGAACTCATTGAACTCATTTAGAAACATGGTAAGGTATAATCTTTGTTTCAAGAGGTGCTATACTCATAGATTGTTGTATCTGGAAGACTGTATCTGTCAAATACCCTGTAATTGCATCAGTCATTGAGTATGTCTGTGATTGTTAAATCTATTTGCTTTGGCTCTTAGTACCTTTTATTTTATTTTCTCCTTCAGATTACTAATAAAAAATAATTAAATACATGAAATGAAGCCTTATTGGGACACCGTAGAGCTGTTGTTTTAGACAAAGGAAGAAAGGAAATTAAGCGGTGAAGCAGAATCCCTGTTGGCAGTACTAGAAAGCTTCAATTTGACAAGCCTTTTAGTGAAGGAATTTTTCTTAATATATAATCTAAACCTCCCTTAGCACAACCCGAAATATTTTCCTCTTGTCCTATTGCTTTTTACCTGAGAGACCAACCCCTGCTTTGCTATATCCTTCTGTCAAATACTTGTAGAGAGCCATAAGGTCTTTCTGATTTTCCTATTCTCCAGGCCAAACAATCCCACCTCTCTCAGCCACACCTCATAAGACTTGTACTCCAGACCCTCCATCACCTTCGTTGCCCTGGTAGGCACTCCAGTGGTCTGTCATCCTACCAGATTTCCATGATGGTAATTATGTTCTAGTTTTCCTGCTGTGAATGATAATGTCAGAATAGGAAAAATGAGAATCACCTTTCATATTGACAAAGTTCTGAGACCCCCTCTTAGCATTATAAATTAGGAATGGTCCATCCTTCAGATTTAGGACATTGTCTTTCAGGGAATTATTTCAACTTTATATTTGGCTATTTAAGAATATAAATGTGTATTATCTTTGGAGGTTAGACCTACAACAAAACCAGGGAGGAAATAAGGAACGAAGTAGAAAAATCTGAGCAAGAGAAAGTGACAAGTGGCACATAAGCACAAGTTTAAGAGAAATTATTTTACAAGTCTAATCTTAAATTAATAAAATTCCCCTGTTAATAAAAATTAATAGATAATAGTTTGTGTGTAGCAGTATCAAAAGGTAAAAGATTTACTCAGATTAATAAATTTTTCTGATTTCTTCCCTTTTTCTTTTTCAAGAACTCAGGTAACACAATTTATATTTAGGGACATTATAATAAAATATGAGCCACATATATGCACATATTTATGACTCTTTCAGAAGTAGTCTGTAGAAGTAGTCTGTAGAAGTTCAAAAATCTTGGCAGTCGAATAAATTAGATATTTGAACTTAGCAAAATCTTCCTTTATTCTCTTTTTCTTAAATTTGAAAAAAATCAAGTTCTCTTACTCTGTTTTCATGTCAAAAGTATCTCAGTACCCTGTCAATCTGGCCTCTAATAAAGTTTTTCCAGTATGAAAACATTGTTATTACACTGGGGTACAAATATCTGGATACAATAATCCAGGTTCATTCTCTGAAGTGCTGAATATCTGCAAGCCACTCCTTCCTTCCAGTGCTGGCTGCATTCCTGGTAATTCACAGGTATTGTACTTGTCTACATCTGCTGTCAGTGCATCCACTGAGTCATGCTCTGCTTGTCCACCAGGACATTCTGGTCTTTTTCTGTAGGAATACTTTTTAAATCTGTTTTTTTTATTTTTTACTCAACTACTAGCCAAATGCTGTTTGTTGCACCTGTCCCTAGCAAAAAACTGCATTTGTTTTTATTGAACATTATGAGGTAATGAGGTAATTTCAGACCTAATTTATAGCCTATACAGATCTCGGTGAGTACTTCCCCACAGCTTGTCACGGCTTGGAGCATTCAGTCCCATTATACAGGATTTCAGATGCATAACTATAATAGCTCCAGTAGAAACTCCTGAGTAATGCTACTGACAGATGACTTTATATCACAAAATTGGCAGGAGGACCTGCCAATTTATTTTCACCTTTAAGTCCATTTACTCAGTTCATAGCTTACCAAATTGGCTCTAAAGTTTGTGCACAAGATCATATTAAAAGCCCTGATAAAACTACCATGTACAGCATCCATTCTTTTGAGAGGAGAGCCAGGAAACTCATCTCAAGAGGCAAACAAACTGGTCAGACATTATACGCCCTTGGTAATTCCCCTATCTCTGTTTCCAATCACAATCTTTTTCTTCATGTGCATGCTTTCAGGTGGATTTTATCCATAGCTTATTCAGGTGACCTGTTTAGGCTGATAATCCCGTTGCTCTTCTCGCTGTTCTCAAAAATGGTCTTACTGTTGTCTTTTTGCAGTCACTGGGGGGATCCTTTGATTGTCATGACCTGTCAAAGATTTAGAGAGTAGACACATAATGACATCACCCAACTTCATTAACAACTTCACACGTGTGATGCTATGGAGTTGCAGAATGTTCAGTTTGCTGAAGCTGCATAGATATATATGACTACAAAAGTATAGAAGTATACCTCTAGGTATTTCTTTATTTATTAATATATTTTGATAATATTCACACACTCTCTTACAGCCCTTTGATAATTAGTAAATAAGAATTACTTGCATTCCTTTTGAACAGAACATGAGGCAGGCTTAGGGAAGCAGTTCAATTAAAGACAGTGCTGACCTAGAGAGATAAAGGAAAACAGCTGGGGAAAACATAAATTTATGACAATTCTAGATTTTCCTAAAGGAAGCAAACCCATGCCCATTCCCCATGTGGATAAAAGCATGTTTATCCACATGCTTAAAGCTGTGAATTAAGTTAGGGCAAAGGAAATTTATTTCTGCCTCAGGAAGCAACCTTTTTCCTGTTGTTTTCTCTCTATATTGACCAGAATTAAGTCAGCAATTACTGCTCATCTGAAACCTCTCTGGATGCTATTGGGTATTGTGCTGGCAGTCAAACTCCCTACTTACAAGAACAACAGCTTCCTAAGGATATATCAAGTTAATATTTTATCAAAACAGTGTTCCAAGAGGTCAGTTTAAATAATGAGACATAATGAAAATAAAAATTATTACTTTGATACATTTTAAATATGTTATTTATAATATGCAAAATATTATACATGCAGGAATTATGTTTTTAATTTGCTTTTAAGTCTATGAACACAGGAAAGAGATAAGTAAAATAATTTATTTTTTTAACGTGCCTATTTTCATGTTATTTGAATGAACTTAGTAATGATGTTTGAAAGAGCAGACTGCTAAGGATTTTGAAGAAGGCATTTTGGAATTATATTGTTATTAGGATAATGAAAGCTTGCAGTATGGTTGAAACTGTCAGTAGAGATGTAGATGTAGTCAAAACCAGACAAGTTAGTGTCTTCTCCTGTGTACAAGTACCAAGAAGAAAAAGCACCGGGAAACACCCTCTATGTCAAATTGCCAGCTTTCAAAACAGTAAAGAACAAAGGCATCAGGATTCAAAAGAAACTGCTTTCAAAGCAGCTATTTGTTGGTAAATTTCCTGACTTTTGCTCTCGATATGTGTCAGTATCACTTTGATATAAACATCAGAGCACAGCCTCAAGCCAAGTTCTTCCCCCTTGGACTGAACCTTAGGGTGTTGCCAGTCTGTAGCCTAGCACATACAGTAACCCCACTACTGTATGGAAAACTCATTGTATTGAAAATATGGACTTATGAAACTTGAAATATACTGTGGCATCTGAGTGACAGGTATCCCACGGATCCTGCTGTGCCCAGTCAAAAAAGAAAATGCCCAAGATTATAAGAATTTAGAAGATTTTTTGTGACAGGGTCTGGTACCTGAGGTATAACCTCATGCCTCTCTAAGATGATGCCTGTCTTCAACAAAAGTAGCAGCATCAATTAGATGATGGCATAGAATATGGTGGGTTTTTTCCTACTTTGAGATTAAGCTTGGAATTTAAAGTATAACACCCTTTCTTGCTTTCACAGAATCACAGATTGGGTAAGGTTGGACGAGATCACATTGGGTCATCTGGTCCAGCCTGCACATTTAAGTAGGGTCATCCTTGAACACATTGCACAGGCTTGCATCCAAACAGTTCTTGATAAACTCCAGTGAGCAAGGCTCCTCAACTTCTCTGAGCAGCTTGTTCCAGTTCTAAGTCATCTGCACAGGAAAAAATTCATCCTCACGTTCAAGTGAAACTTCCTATGCCTCAGTCTCTGCCCATTGCCTCTCATCTTGTTGCTTGGCACCACCAAGCACAACCCTGGTTCCATGCTCGTGACACCATCACTTCGACACTTATAGTCATTGGTGAGGTCCCCTCTCAGCTGTCTCTCCTTGAGGCTAAACAGGCCCAATTTACTCAGCCTTTCCTTGTAAGGGAGACGCTCCAAGTGTTTTTTGTGCATAGAAGTGTTGATAGTATGGGTAAGGAAGCTGCAGATAAGTAAATATTTGTAAATGAAATTGTTTGAGGCATTTGTTGAAGTTAATATTTTTTGTATATTTTTAGACCTTATGTAATGACTGAATCTTCTGAACTTTGATTTTTGATCAATGGATTTTTCCTAACAATTTTAGATGGATAAAGGCCTGAATGCAGACGTTGGAGAAATTGATTAAATTCTGCCACTGATTTACCTCTGCTTTATCAATTTTAATCAATAATAAGATCTCTTGCCACTTTTTGAAATTTTTATTTTTTTACTTTTTACAGTTCAAGTGTTTACAAAGTATGAAATGTTTTATTTTCTGATTAAAAATTAAAATCAAATCATTATTATTGATTATATGTTTAGGCACTTACAACTATTTAATTAATTGATACTTGGTGTTTGACAAGGACTCTGTAGGCTAAGTGCTTAGAGAGCTAAAGCACACAGCAGCCCTGTAAAAAAATAGAAAGTGATATTTGATTCTCTTCAGTTCAAGCTATTAATTTGGGTTATTAATGCAGTGCGTGAGAGAAGTAAAGGGTGATGACTGAGTACTCTTTATCACTGATCACTAATTGTCTTTGAGATAGGACCTGAACTCTCAGAAATCAGAATTAATAGTCTGATTTAAAGAATCATGAAAATTTAAGGGCTACATAGGCACCACAGAGAATCCTCAGTCTAAACAGGCAGACTTTTATTCATTGTGCTAGGAACTCACACATGCTTAAATTCTATGGTAACTTGAGAGACCTCATCAAGTTACTGCAAACTGTGTATCAGAAGTGATATAAAAAAAGAAAATGAAATCAAAACCAGAACCAGTTAATAAATTAAGAAAAACAGTATGTATTTATTTGTTGTTAATAGTTTATTTGGCACTGTATAGAATGAATGCATTGTGTATACGCTGTTCTACATTGCAGATTTTCAAGGGCACTTCTAAATTCAGTCATGGCATTATAGCTTGGAAAGCAAACTGGAAACGTTTCCCATTCAACAAATTAATTCTCAAAACAAATTGTTTCCTCAACACTACAAGGAGTCTCAAAAAGGTTGTTATAAATATTCTGTAAGCAACAGTGGCAACAGATAAAAACATCATATATTTAACTCATTCTATTCTGCCTATTGAGTATACCCAACAATATACTTAGATAGAAACAAACACCTGATTTTTCAACACCCTAACAAAGCAGATTTTCTTTTTGTGTCTGAAAACACAAAATCAACATTTTTACTATTCTGTGTGGGACTTGGTATTTTAATTTGTGAAGATCATTATTTATACCATTAAAAAATTAGAAACACTATTACAAGCAGAAAAAACAAATACAAATCTTCCAAAATAATGGAAAAAATATTTTTTCTCTGATTAAATCACAGAAGTAGATCAACATTCTAATATGAACATGAATCTTTAACTCTGGGCTAACTTCCATAAAAGATATTACTCAAAATAGGCTGATATAAATGGAATAAAAATGGCATAAAAGAAACAGACTAAACAGTATATCTTATTTGGGTGAATATTTAGTTTTGGTGATAGGTATAGAGCTAGAGATATCAACTTGCCCATAAAGAACTCAAATTTTCTTTCACCTAGGTTATGATAAATTACAATAGATTTTACTTTATATATCTTATACAGGCAATGTTTTCCATAATCAAGCCTGTATGCAAGTGGATACCATACACACAGAAATGTACAAACTTTTCAAGGGGACAGGTGGATCACAGGAAATTTTCCTTCCCTAAAAACATGTAAAGTATTAGCAGTGTAACTAAAGTAGTTGTGTGAAAACTAATAGAAGTTAGTCTATACAGAGATACTCAATATGATGACAAAATTATAAAATGCCTTCACAGAGCATTAAGTAAACACCCCCATGCATATTTCTCCTTTTCAACTACATTTCTAAACATTTGATATCCCACATATTATCCTGTGCTTTTGCTGGAAACAGGTTACAATTATTTCTTAGAGCAACTAAATTAGATCTCCAAATACATATGTGGTTTTCTGAAACAGTTTTTAAAGTGTCATGCAAAAGTGGAGGTAAGGACAAATACCATGTGGCTCTGGGAAGATGATAATTCTTGGACTGGACAACAGGTTGGGTTCAGTAACTGGAGGGAAAAAATAGCAATATAGATGAAAAATAGAGCAAGAAATGTAGAGTGTTGCAGGTGGGTAACAAAGTGGATCTCTTGTCCTGTCTAGTTGTCAACAGATGCTCTGTGGCTCTGAAAACCATTACCCACTAAGAAACAAAGTGAAGAAGTATAGAGTATATAAGTACAGAAATTATTCTATTACCACCTACCACATTAGAAAAAGGTATATAAGCTTCAAAAACCATTTCATCTAACAAGTATTTTGTTTCTTTAATGTATGGATGACTCTGTGGCAGAGATTTTGGCATTACTGATTGGAATACTTTAGAATGGATCTGTCATAGGAACTGTCAGAACCACATTTAGTGTCTTGATTTCCTGTGCCATGCATAGAAAGATGTTCATATCTGAAAACTTTGTTTAAAAAAACAGTGTATGAGATTTTTTGTTGATGCAGGGAGATAAGAGATTATTCTTCTTGCAGCAACAAGTGAGTATAACAGCACAATTTTTGGAATTACAAGATATCTTGCATACTGGAATGAGTGAACAATCTTGTACATCACTGTTAAAGCCCAGAACAATGAGTGCAGGACTACATAAAGTAGAAAAAGGAAAAAAAAAATGCTGAAGAGTGTTAAACACTTTTTATTGAGGGGCATGAATGTACTCACTTCATTTCCTCTGCATGCATTTTTAGACAGTTAAACAGCTTAATTTAGAAAGTGCTTGCGTGTACTTGAACAGTAGTGATATTTCTTTGCAAAGTTACCTACAGAATGTGTTGCTGCTTTTTTCAATGCCTTGTCCCTGAGCTCATAACATCTTTTACCACATTAAGTGGTCTTGAAGTTGTTCCACTATGAAGCAAATAATTTAATATTCATTAATTTATAGTAGAATTGGACCTACATAAGAATAAAGGTCTGCATGACAGAAGACCTGGAGTAAAAACCTGTGTCATTTGTTCTTGTCCTTTTGGATATACATTAGCTGAAGTGGAACTTGTCACTCTGAGAGAACTTAAAATGAGCCATGAATAAATAAAAGGAAGAGACTGGTTTTATGGGAGCAGGATGGAGATTGAGTGAAGAAAAGCTGAAATATTTTTTAATGCATTCTGAGAAGAACTCCCAAGTACCAGTAGCAATTTAAAGACTCAAAACAAATTCCTCTATGTGTTAACCTCTTCAATTTTATACTGCAGAGTCGGAAGATGAGGTGTAAATGACTGCAACCTGGACATGGATGCCAGGAACAAGAGATTAATAATCTTTCAAGAGCCTTCAAGAAAGTTCTGTGCTCGAGGCATATCACTATTTACCATATTTAATTCATTTTAATATGCCATGTTTACATGGTTTACATCTTAACATAGTTTATAGCGAACATTTTCAAAGACTTTTCCACCTTGTAGCAAAAATCTCTCTTAGTTCAATGGATCCTTATTAGCATTCTTATTTGTATACACAGAGGCAAAATTCAGACTGAAAACTCATGTAATATACTTATAAACCATCTTATTTTTTTTGTTGTCCTTTTCCATTATATATTTGTCTCCCACCTTGCTAAAGCACTGTCATCTATTTGAAGATTCTTTAAGTGAAGGAATTTAAATACCAGGGATAAGTGAGTTTATCATTGTTGCTCTCAATTATCATACTTAACTTTTTTGTTTTAGCTGTACTTCACCTCAATTCTCCGTGAAGAGAAACCTTGTGTTTGAGTCCAGCAATCACGTGGATAATATTTAGATCAATTCCAAAAAAAAAGACATACAGTAGCTTTTAACTCTCTCTTGCAATTCCCATTATGTAACTCAGGCATAAGAGTGTTGGGAAGAAAATAAAGTTTTAATGTAGTCAAATTGACAAAAACACAGGGGGGCTGCAGGTGTGGGAGTGAGGAAGTGATGTTTTCCTTCCGTGGAAGGAAATTTCTGTCAATTAACAAAAAGGTCATCTTCCCAGACTTGCTGTGTGCATGAAGCATTGCAAAGTCTGGCAGAGTTTTTAGACAAGAACTTCTGTTCTTGTTTTTTGGGCCTGAGCAACTCAAGACAGACTTCTAAAAGATTAAGAGACACACAGCAAGAGTTTAGAATAGACTACCTTCTGCTAAGGTAGTTCACCCCAGATAGAACAGTGGGATCATTATTTACTTCTGAAAGAAAGAATGGAGACCAAGTCTATCTTCTCCTGCAATTAAGAGAACCCCCCGCCTCCCCCCGTTATGTTTTCCATGGAAGCAAGCAAATCAAAGAAAGAAAGAAACAAAAAAAAAAAAAAACAACAACAACAAAAAACCAAAACACCATAAAATAAAAGCAGAAAGAAGAAAAATAAAAAATTAAATGAGAAAACAATTTAGGTGTGGATACCTTGGAAGCTAAAGAAAACAAAAAATATGGGTTATTTACATGTACTGCATAATTTAAAAATACATGATAGAAAAAATAGACAATATTTTTAAACTTTCAAAATATATGAAAATAAACCAAATGTTACTAGAAAAACATGTATATCATTCATAGATTATTCTTTTAATTTCATTTGTGACCCCTTTCCCTTGTGAAGTTGAAGCATAACAAAGAAGAAGCTAATATGTTATCTTACAGATTTGTTGCTACATCCTAAATTAAGCTTATTTGTAGGGATATTCTGTTCTCCAAATTGGAATT